TGGGGAGGAGGTCCCCCCCCCATCAGTGGACTTGGAAAGGGGCACGGTGGAGATGAGGGAGGGAGGGTGGGATTGGGAGGGAATGAGGGAGCGGGACACAGCTGGGATACAGAGTTAATAAAATGTAACTGATAAGAAAAAAATAAAATTAAATAAAAAAAATCCAAGACCTCATTCAGGAAGGCAAAGGGGATGGACATCAGAAGGGGGAGAAAGCAGGGAACAGGACAGGAGCCTACCATGGAGGACCTCTAAAAGACTCTACCCAGCAGGGTATCAAAGCAAATGCTGAGACTCATAGCCAAACTTTGGACAGAGCGCAGGGAATCTTATGAAAGAAGGGGAAGATAGAAAAACCTGGAGGTGACAGAAGCTCCACCAGGAGAGCAACTGAACCAAAATATCTGGGCGCAGGGATCTTTTCTGAGACTAATATTCCAAACAAGGACAATTCATGGATATAACATAGAACCCCTGCACAGATGTAGCCCATGGCAGCTCAGTGTCCAAGTAGGTTCCCAAGTAGTAATGGGAACAGAGACTGTCTCTGATAAGAACTTAGTGGCTGGCTTTTTGATCACCTCCCCCTGAGGGGAGAACAGCCTTACCAGATCACAGAGGAGGACAATTCAGGCAGTCTTGATGAGGCCTGATAGACTAGGGTCAGAGGGAAAGGGAAGAGGACCTCCCCTATCAGTGGACTGGGGGAGGGGCATGGAATGAGAAGAGGGATCTAGGGTGGGAATGGGAGGGAACAAGGGAGGGGGCTACAGTAGGGATACAAAGTGAATAAACTGTAATTAATAAAAGAATAAATAAATTAAAAAAAATTAAATCCAAAACCTTATAAACCAAGATGTCAAAATGTGGATTGAATATTTCCATTAAAATATCCTATAACTAATTACCTGATACTGGGTAAATTAACATTGGAGATATATTGCTTACAGTCTTTGTGGCTGAAAAGTCAAAGATCAAGACACTTGACATTTTAGTGTTTCTGAGGATTCTTTCTCTATGTTAGAGACTGCACCTTGTTGCTTGTTCATATGATGGATGGAGCTGGTGAGATCTCCTTCATGTCTCTTTTATAATAACCCCAATTATCTACATGAGGATAGAGCTCAATGAGTAGACACCATGTGATTGTATGGGAAAACCAATATTCAGTCTATACCATAACACAAGTTAAACAGTAGAAAATATGAATTAGTAGTGCAAATGAACAGTACAGATTACATGTTACATGATAACAACAAAATATTCAGCAAAAGAAGCTACAACCAAAAGAGTTTATACATACTTTGATTCCACTTATATAAAGAATATAAACACTTAAAACTCATGTATGGTTATGAGTACCTGTCAGTCTTTTTCTCATACCTAGTCCAGGGTGAACCCTTGATGCTATGAATACCAGCGTTTCCATCACTCCTAGAGTGTCCAGGGAGTGTCCTGTTATTTGGGGGACTTATGGTCCAAGATGTCATTAATATAATGACATTTGAGAAAAAGCTAATTGATTTGTATAGTAGAAAAATACTTAAATTTAACCCTGTAGTATTTCAGATGGTGATAAAATATCTTTATTGTTTTTTGAAGCATTTTGAAATTGTGGAAAACAATTGAGATTGAAAAGAAATGACAAGGCTGAATATAAACCTGAGTTTTATTGGGATGTAAATGTTTAATGAACTATTATTATGGATAAAGTAACTTTCTCTTAGGAAATACAGTTCACATCAACAAGTGATTTATAGGCATCTAGATGTGCTTTAACATGCTTTAGTTAGATGGTTATATATTTATTGCTATAAATATCTTTACTATTTTATATTTTTGTAACTTAAGAACCCTTGTCATATAAAATTAATAACTCTTACTCTAAAGTTATTAGATAATTTTAGCCTGTTTAATGTTTATCTTTTTAAATTACTCTAATATGTGTACCAATAAAGACACTTGAGGCATAAACTAAGGTAAAAACCTGCTAGCTCAGCGAGGTAACTTTATTTTCTTAACTATATACAAAATGTCTATTTCTACAACTAAACTTCTAGCTCTTTAGAAATCTTTTTCTATCGGTGTCATTTGACTGAGCTAGTCTACCTTTCTCTTGAGCCCCTCTAAACCCAAGAGGGCTCCTTAGCTTTCTTTCCTAGAATGCTGTTTTACCTGTGTCCTGCCAGCTGCTTCTCTGATGTTCCTGCAAGGCCAGAGAGGAAAATCCCTATCTCTTATTTTTAATTTTACTTTTTATATTAATTACAGGTAATTTACTTTGTACCCCAGCTGTAGCCCGCTCCCTCATTCCCTCCCAACCCCATCCTCTCTCCCTTATCTCCTCCCATGCCCCATTCCAAGTCCTATCTCTTACCTAGAGCTCCTTGCATGAGGGTTCTTCCAAAAAAGAGAGAGACCTCTCAAAGGTCCAGTTGCTATGTAAGAAATCTTTAGCTCCTCTTCTATACCCTTGGCAGGCTGAACCATTTCATTGTCATGATGAGGGCTCCAAACCAAGTCAGTAGAGACCTGAACCATTTCACCTTTATAGTGGGGCAGCTCAAGGCTGACTTTGCTGACTTTTTCTGGAGTCATAAAGCAAAGACCACAAGACCTCTCCCAAACAACTTGCCTTGAAATAGGCAAGAACTTTCCATTCTTTAGCATTCTTATCTGTGGAGACTTTTCAGAAGCACACCCAAGTTACTTCTCTTCAGGACACACCAAACTGCATCTGACATCCATTTAAACTTTTATGTTTTACTAATAAATACAATTTCTATGTACAAAACCAAATATCCTGCTACAGTGCTAGATCTGTATGTTTCAGTAATACTTATCCTAAGCTTCTTTATATGTCTTTTGCTTATCTATTTATGAAAATTCAATAAGTCACTTCTGAATTTTCTGAATTAATTAGGGGTTAGCAAAAACAGCCTACTGCCTATTTTTGTATAAATTAGAAGCCACGAATTTTAAAAATATTTTAAATGTGAAAATATTTAAAAATTGAAAAATATTTTAAAATGTGTGACACACGACAGTTATACAAAATTCAAACTTTTTCCTTTTTAATTTTATTTTTTTATTAATTACAATTTGTTCACTTTGTATCCTCCTGTAGCTCCCTCTCCCCTCCCAATTCCACCCTCCCACCCTTCTCCACCCATGCCCCTCCCCAAGTCCACTGATAGGGGAGGTCCACTTCCCCTTCCCTCTGACCCTAGCCTATCAGGTCTCATCAAGAGTGGCTGCATTGTCTTCCTCAGTGGCCTAGTAAGGCTCTGCTGCTCCCTTTCAGGGATCATTTCTATAGTTTGTTACAAAATTCAAATTTTAATATTCTTTGCATGTATATTTGTCTGTATGTGAGGGTAGGGTGGTGGAGAGTACATGCTGCAGCATACATGTAGAGGTCAGGAAAAACATTGCAGGAATTGGTTCTCTTAAACAATGTGGGTTCTAGGGATCAAACACAGGTTGTCAGGCTTGGGAACAACTGCCTTAACCCACTGTACCATCTTACTGGTACCATTAAACCATAGCCACATACAAATTCACTTCTATGCCTGCTTTAATACTGTAACAAAAGAATTAGTCATAACAGAGACCTGTAAAATGTAAATATTTACTCTTGTATATGCTATTAAAAAAGTCTACAGATCACTGGTATGTGTAAGTGCTGTGTCTAAGGAAACTAATAAAAAGCAAGTCTCAGAAGATCAGTGAGTCTTGCATGATGGTTTACTTCTATAATTCCAACATTTGAAAGGTTGAGGCAAGAGGATCACGAGTTGTAGATCAGCCTTGGCTTTATAGTAAGACCTTGTCTCAAACAGACAAATTAACATACAAATAGCAGCAATAAAAGCAATGAAAATGCTTATCTTACACAATTATTATTTTACTAGTTCTTGTTCTTTCCTCCGTAATTGTTTTCCTTTTAAACAATTGCTCATTATTTAAGATACATATTTTAATTTTTTTAAAATATTGTTATTTTATTGCTCATTATTTAAAATACATATTTTAATTTTTTAAATAAAATGGCACAGAAATCATTTTGTTCTTTTCCTTTTTACGTTGTAACTTTCATGAAGTCAGAGATTTTTTTTTTTGTCTGTATTGTATACTGCTTCACCCCTAGGGACCTAGGCATGTTAACAGATACACAATTTATATCTGAGTAGATAGATGTTTATTAAATTGAAAAGATGACTGTGCAAATTTGATTGTCTATTGCTGTATCTAAGCTGAGGAAAACTGGAAAACAAGACAGAAAGTACTCTTTGTTTAACTGGCTAGCACTGTGCCATAAATTTGGCAAGGTATCTCAAAGTTCAGCAGTATTTGATATTATTTTGGTGCTTCTGCCTAGTGAAGAATTACATGCATGCAAGCATATATGTGATTTCCTACATATTAAATTAAAAATATCTATAGTGTTATAGTATTTTTATGTAATAGTTTATGATATTTTAAAAGTAAATATTAATATATAATATTCATTTATGACATGTCTACATTTCAAGCTTTTATGTCAGTGGAGCTGGTGAAGTAAACAACACATAGGAAATAACTAAAGGTTAGTGAAATTTAGAAGAGTTCAACAAGCTCTTAGGGAGTAGATTGTTTTATCAACACAAGGGTATTGCTTAATGTTTTTCACCACAGTTCAAACAGATATCTCAATGCTGTGCCAATTCATAAAGCTTTGTATCATTGATTTTCATCTTTATACTTTTCTCATTTACTATGCTAAATTTGTATTGAACTTTTAGTTTTTCTTAGTTAAGTTCTTTTATTTACAGCTTAAAAATGTATAATGAACACACACACACACACACACACACACACACACCTACCTCCACAAGCTTTACTCTGGCGGTGATCACATCTTTTATATTAGCCTTTAGCTTACTAATATTCAGGAAAGTTAATATCAGGAAACATGATATTATATTAAGTAAATACTTGGTTTTTGGCTTTTGAGACAGATCTCATGTATCCCAGACTGGCCTTCAACTTGCTAGATACCCAAGAATGATTGTGAACATCTGATCTTCCTGCCCACACAGCCTATTTCTGGAATTACAGGTATGCACTACTGGGGCCTGGGAATCAAAGCCATAGCTTTGTGCATGCTAGTCAAGCACTCTACCAAATAAACTACATCTCATTCTTTAAATTGGATAGCTTATAATGATTCAATATTTGATTGAAATAGTACCAGATTTGGTGTCAGAAACCCTATGTCAAGATCTTTAAATGTATTCTAAATCTTCTTCCCCATTAATTAATTGATTTATTGACTTTACATCGGGATAAGAAGTTACCCTCCCTTCTCTCCTCCCAGTCTCTCCCTCTTGCCTCTCCTTCTGTCCCCCATGCACCCACCCTTTCTTCTCACAGAAAGGGAGACCTCCCATAGATATCAATCCACCTTGGTATATCAAATAGGACTGGGCACATCTTCTGTTGAGACTAGACATGTGTTCTAAATCTTGATGTATATGTTAGTAACACTGGTATAGTTTCAGTCAGCTTTCCTTTTCTGTGATGAAATACCTAAGAAAATAAGCTTAAAGGGGGAAGAATTCATTTTGGTTTGAGAATCTGCACTCCACAGGCACTTGGTGCTATTGTCTCTCTTCCTGTGGTAAGCCAGTGGATGTAGTGGAAGAATGCTGCACTCTTATGGCTGCCAGAAAGCAGAGAAAAATGGAGGGGACAGGGACCATCCTTTGACATGCCTCCTAGGACCTATTTCATGCTATTTGGTTTCATGTCCTTAAGTTTTTGCTACTTTTCAGTAATGCCATTAGCTAGCAACCAAGCCTTTATTACATGACCTTGGTGGTTCAATTTCAAATCCAGACCATCACAAGTATCTCTGTGAAGACTTGCAAATTATAATATTAATTTCTTAAATATAAATTTGTTGAGACATTAACCCATGCCTGAAATGTTCTTTCTCACCTATTAGCTATATGAACATGAGGAATTTGATTTCTTCAAAATTTATCAATAGGTATCATTGTTTCTAACTCATAGGGTTGTTTTGGGCCCTGATAAGATGCCCCAAATGAAATTTTTTTTAAAACAGTGCACATGCATGCAACAAATAGCAGTTGAATATTTTTTTATTTTTTCATTTTTATGTTAATCACAGCTTATTCACTTTGTATCCCAGCTGTAGCCCCCTCCCTCATTCCCTCCCAATCCCACCCTCCTCTCATCTCCTCCCAAACCCCTCTAAAAGACTACTGATACAGTTGAATCTTTATTATTTGAATGATGCAGCATCAGAAAAAAAATGAAAATGAAGCACAACATACCCAAACTTGTGGGACACAATGAAAGCAGTGCTAAGAGGAAAGTTCATAGCACTAAATGCCTTCAAGAAGAAATTCGAGACAGCTCATTCAAGCAACTTAATGACCCACCTGAAAGCTCTAGAAAAAAAAAGAATAAGAAGAAGAAGCACACACCCCAAGAAGAGTAGACGTCTGGACATAATCAAACTCAGGGCTGAAATCAATAAACTAAAATCAAATAAAACTATTCAAAGAATCAATGAAACCAAGAGCTGTTTCTTTGAGAAAATCAACAAGATAGATAAACCTTTAGCCAAACTAATTAAAAGGCAGAGAGAAACTATCCAAATCAACAAAATCAGAAATGAAAAGGGGGACATAATGACAGACACTGAGGAAATCCAATCATTAGATCTTACTTCAAAAGCCTATGCGCCACAAAATTTGAAAATCTAAAGGAAATGTATTAAAGTGTATCAAAGCCGAAGCTGAGACTCATAACCAAACTTTGGGCAGAGTGCCACCTGAGTGCCTAGTGCCTGTGAAAGTCAGAAAAGGGCATCAGATTCCCTGGGACTGGAGCCCATATTTAAGTATTAAAAGTTATATCCAGCTTCTCTGGAAAAGCAACAAGTGTTCTTCAATTGCTGAGCCAATGCTCTAGCCCTTGTGTTTATTTTAAACCATCACTACACTGATGTTCCAGTTTCAAATTTGTCCACAAATTTTCCTTAAGAGGATCTCACATAACTGTCAAGTGCTCATAATCTTTTCCTTTCACTAATTCAGTTTTATATCATATACCTCATATCCTCAAATTTTCTTTCTTCCGGAGCATTATCGAAATTGGTAGGAAAACAGACCACCACAACCAGAATAGAGGGCAGACAGTTCTGACAGGGAAAGAACCAAGAAGTGTTTGGGTTTTTTTTAATAGTTCTACTAAAAACATGAGATGAGAAGTAATTCAAAATAATATAGACACGACTGAGCCTCTGAATTGTTATTTAGCATGCTTTGTATGGAAGCATATAAAACTATTTCCTCTCTGTGGATTGTTATGCTTGCTGAACCTCAGACAATGACATTCCCCCGATTCAGCATCCTGCTATCTTCTGGTTATACCAAAAACTAAGAAACTTGTGAATAACTTTAATTCTTAAAAATATTTACAGTTAAAAAATGGGATGAGGTGGAATTTCCTCTTATTAAAAATATTTCTACTCAAGGAGGCAGAGGCAGGCAGGCAGTGGTTGAGGCTACCCTGGTGTACAAAGCCAATCCAGGACAGGCAGTGTTACACACAGAATCCCTGTCTCAAAACAAACCAAAAAATGTTTTTAGAGCTCCTAAGGAACTCATATTTAAAAACTACATGATAAGAATATTTCTCTGGCTTGCTGAAAAAGGAAGACAGAGCTGGGCATGATGAGGCCCACCTTATAACCCCAGCACTATGGGAGGCAGAGACTGAGGCAGGCATATCACAGTGAGATCAAAGCCAGCCTCGACTACAAAGTGATTCCAGGACAGCCAAGGCAGAGAAACCCTGTCTTGAAAAGAAAAAAAAAATCAGTTAAACTTGGCTTCTTTTCTCTTTTGCTCTACTTTTCAGAGTCTCCCTTTTCTGCAGCTAGCTCTTTAGGTTTTTTTGTAGTCCTTGTTTTTAAACTCTGTTTTAGTGGGGTCCCTTAAAGCCTCCCTTCCAACCCCCAACCCTATGTAAGAGAGATAAATTTAGTAGGGATAGGGGTCACAGACCCCTTTACTTTTTCCAGCTGTTTAGGGTCCATGGGTTCTTTTGGGGGTTATACCAATCTCCTTCAACAGCAGATGCAACAAGCAGTCTCCTCTAAGCCACTGAGTTGAAATGTTTCTCTCTGCCTGTCTCTGAGCTGCCACACCATCTGTCTCTGCTCTCTCTATACTGCCACTCACTACATGCCACCACAGCATGCCACATTTTCTCTTTCTGGGCTCTCATTTATATCCTCAGAGCCCTAGACCATGCCCCTCTCCCTGCCACACGAGGCAGGCTGTTACCAGCTGTCAGTGACCATGCCCTACATAAGACAGTTATCAGCTGTGGATAAACTAAAGCCCCAAACTGAAACCCCTCACTTGGGATTAAAGCAAAAACATTTTTCCATAGCATAACTGAGTTTTTAAAGAAACCAAAATTTTCATTACAGTTCTTGTTAGCCACCCCAGCCTGTTTGCCTTTTGCTATCCTTTCCCCCTTTTCTTTCCATTGTTTCTGTCTGATGACTTATTCTGAGTAATATACTACGGTGTAAGATTATATTGACTATCCTGTGACAGTGAATTCCTTGCTTAATATCATACAGTGAGTAGCTAAAATGATCAATTCTGAGCTTATCATTTTCAATTAAGTGTTTGCAGAATATTTCCCAGTGCTTTTTTGGCAGGAGTGCCCTTGGTTTGACAACCTTGCAGGAGGCAACTTAGGCTCCTCCTTGGCCCTCCCAGCTGACCTCTCTCTTGGTCATCACGGGGTTGGGGAAGCCATCTGAGTGGCTGGAGACTAGATAGGAACTTGATTAGAGCTGTATCATTTCCTCTTAGTTTCCTACCCACCGCCAACCCAGAATACCTATGGCAAATGTGGCCCTGTCATTATTTAAAAGGACATGTTTTCCTGTAGTCATTACTTTATGCATATGCATATCTCTATTAAGAAATATACACCATAACTATGTGCTCTCTAAACATGAGTTTAACTACAATAAAAATTCAGAGATTGAAAAGTAAGCAGAAACATATAACAGTTCTCTATCTATATATATATATATATTAGTGAAAATATGAGATAAGCTGTATGATTATGTTACCAAATTAAAGACATCTTACCTAACTTAGTAGACAATAAAAGAGGCTAACAATTTGCCTGATATTACTATGAACTAAGTATTTAATTGGTATTCAAACTAATTAGTATTATAGAATGATGTTTGATATTTGGCAGATTAAAATAATACTATATCAGTGGACGTGGGGAGGAGCATGCATGAAGAAAGGGGAGGTAGGGTGGGATCGGGAGGGGAGGAGGGAGGGGCTTATGGGGGATACAAAATGAATAAAGTGTAATTAATAATAATAATAAGAAGAAGAATAAAAAACAAAAAATAATACTATATCAAAAAATAATAGTACATCCCAGATATTGACATAAAGTTGGTCTGAAGATATATATATATATATATATATATATATATATATATATATATATATAGTAACTTAACTAAAGTACTATCTGGAACATGACAATTCTCTTACGTTGTAATTTCTAATTTGTAGTAATTCTGCCAAAAGCAGTGAAATCATATAACTTTAAATGACAAGTCTAATGTGAATAAAGGCTGAAATAAAAGTGTAAACTAACTGAAAGACTATTAACTAAATGTAGATAGGTGTATTTTGCAAAAGTTCTTAACATTGGACACCAGAGAGATGGTTTAGCAGTTAAAAGTACTTTCTGTTCTTGCAGAGGACCCAAGTTCAGTTCTGAGCACCCATATGATGGGTGCCAACCTTCTGAAGTACGAGTTCTAAAGGATTCAATGCCCTCTTCTGGTCTCTTTGGGCACCAGAGATACATATGGTACACAGACATAGAGGCAAATCACCCATAACCGTATAAAAATCTAAAAAATAGTAAATAAAATCTTTGTAACAACCCTTAAAATTGATTAATGACATAGATATACTAGAGTTTGCAGGCACTAATGTAAACTAAGAGTGACTAAGGCACATGTTATG